TTGAAGAATCCAGAAGGTTAGGATTTGAGAGAACACAAAGAATAAATGCACTGGCGCCATTGCAAACGATTTTGAGCCATGTCATTCAAGGTCTCTAGCCATCGATTATTATCATCTCGCGGACCCCAACCAGGTAGTCGACAATTACCGACATGGCTCAGTCCACTTGTCGATGACTTCATGGATTTATGCCATGTTTTGGTTTGGCCGCCCCTAACTTTCTTCCAACCTACTCCTAAACTACAAAACAAAGCTCGACGAGGCAGTCGGTGGTTCGGCATACGCAGCACATGTCCCAACCGCCTTAGCTGATGAAGTTTCATTACTTCATCTATTGATCTGCCATTCTTACCTAGTACCCGATTCCTAATAACAGCGTTGCTCACTCGGGTGTCCCACGATATACGAGCAATGCTTTGGAGACACCTGTGATCGAAAACCAGTAACCGACGAATATCTGGTACCCTCACTGGCCATGTTTCACAGCAATAAAGTAATACGGATCGAACCACTGCACAGTACACTCGTCCTTTAGTCAGCATACGGATATCTCACCTACGCCATAAGTGACGCAGGTTGGCAAAAGCCCATCGAGCCTTCTGTATCCGAGCTGAGATTTTGTCAGTCACTAGGCCATCGGCACTGATGAGACTCCCAAGATAAGTGAAGCGGTCTACACGCTCGACTACTTCACTCCCTATCACTAGTTCAGGTGCCGATGCAACCCAGTCTTGAAGCAAGATTTTGCATTTGGAGGGGGAAAACCGCATCCCGAACATGCTTGCATTGTTGCTTAGGGTGGTCAGAAGACTATGCATTTTGTCAGCGTCTTCACCAAGTAGGACAATGTCATCGGCATATTCTAGGTCAGTAAGCGACTTTCCTGGCAGAAGATCAACCCCTGAAAAATCTGACGAGCTTAATATTAACTCTAACAGGATGTCTATGACAAATTTAAACAAGAATGGAGAGAGTGGACATCTCTGACGGACACCACTTGAAGTAGAGAATTCCGATGACAGTTCGCCATGTGCTCTCACTCGACCAGTGGTGTTCGAATAAAGAGCTTGTATAAGGTTAATGTAATTATTTGGTACACCTTTCAATGACAAACACTGCCACAGAACCTCACGATCCACAGAGTCAAATGCCGCCTTTAGGTCCAGGAAAACAACTATTGTAGGACGCCTAAATGTGTGTCTGTGTTCCAGGACCTGTCGTAGTGTGAAGATGAGGTCTGTACAACCACGTCCTGGTCGAAAACCAGACTGGTTTTCTCGAGTCTGCTCTTCACGAGTTTTCGTTAAGCGTCGAAGTATTATTGAGGCCAGTATTTTAGATACTATATTAGTTAGACTTATTCCCCTGTGATTGTCACAAGAAGACTTCTGTCCTTTCTTAAAGACTGGGACAATCAGTGACTGAAACCAGTCGGATGGGATTTCGTCCAGTTCCCAGATTCTACCTAAGATCTCAATTAATCTAACTGCTATAACTGGACCACCATCCTTAAACATCTCGGGGATCAGTCTATCAGGACCTGCAGCTCGTCCTCGCTTCAGATTTCCTAACGCTTTTTCAACTTCATTAAGACTAGGGGGACTTACGTCGATTTGCCATTCAGGATGACTGGAGATCGTGGGTAACTGAAGAGTGGCTCGAGGCCCGTTGAACTGATCCCTAAAGTGTTCTGCCCATCGGTCCAGTATCCTGGATTGAGAATAAATAATAGTCCCGTCATTTTCTGAGATAGTCTCACTTATACTAGGATTCCTAATACCAGTTTCCTTGATAAGTCGGAAAAGTTGTCTACTGTTGCCTATCGCCTTTGCCTTTTCCATCGCATTTGCTTTCGCCACCTACCACTGTTCACGGTCGTTGCGTAGGCTTTTTATCAGCCTGCGCCTAATCTGACTTCGTTCTTCATCATGTTCAGAGCCAGGTGGGATGAGTTTTCGGGCATACATCAGATCGGTGGATGCTACTGAGATCCACGGCTTCTTTGTAGCCTTATGGTCAACGTTCCTAGCAGATATCACTGCTGTTTCAACAGCCTTTTTGATATCATTCCAACCTGCCTCCGGATGGGAATCACTTGCATGGTCGCCTAACTCTTTTTCTAGTTCCTCCTGAAATATATTTTTAGTTTTTTTTTTCATCAAGTAAAACCCTAAGAGGCTTCCTCACGTTGTCTTTCCTACGTCCAGTAAACCTCAAGTAGATATGCGCTTGCACTAGAGCATGATCTGAATCTAAACATGTGCCACAGAACGGGCGATAGTCCTCTATCGAACCCCTCCATCGGTGGCTGATGACAATGTGATCTAGTTGAGTCCAACGTTGAGACGACTTCGGGGGTCGCCAGGTCAACAGATGCTTTTCCTTATGCCTAACGTTAGTGTTTGCTAGAAATAGACGGTTATTTGAGCATACTTGCAACAGACGGTCACCATTTTCTGTTCTCTGAGCCGTGGCATCATAACATCCGCCAAGGTGTTTTTCACTTTCACCTAGTCTACCTACTTGAGCATTAAAGTCACCAGCCATTATTACTATATCAGAGCGCCTAGCTTTTTGGATGAGGTCCGAGAGCTTTCTGTAAAACTCATCTTTAACCTCGTTTGAACTGCATTCAGTGGGGGCATAGGCAGATATGACGAAGAGGCAACGGCGATTGTCCCTATCTTTCCGAGTCCTTACTGTCCCGTTCAGTCGCACAGCGCACAAGCGACTGTCTATCGGGGTCCAGTCTAGGAGAGCTAGTTCTGCCTGATGACTTAATACTATACCTACGCCAGCAGGACCCCGAGTAGCAGCATCAGGGCTACCGGATACACGAAGAGTAAATCGAGCTGCTTCTTTATTTTGACAAGGTGAAATCAGATTAATGAATTTGCTAGGATCCTGTATGCGCTTTTCCGAGACGCGGCATACATTGATGAGCCCTATCTACGTAAGCCTGTTGCCCTATTTAACATAATGTCCGTACATTAAAAGCTCCAACATGTAGTCTAGAACGGGGTTTCAGGAGACCGGAAATGACGTTTCGTGAACTCGCATTGTTTGCATTAGCTGTGCAGTGTGATAAAGGAATGTGAGAAGAGTTAGTCGTGGAGATAAGAGAGGTACTAGGGGGTGTAGGAAGGATTTGATTTTGACCAGTTTGGTCTCGTGTACTGTTACGGGTATGAGGGCGGTTGTCACTTCCCGGCTGCCCACACCGTGGAAGGTTGTTTCTAGAGGAACCTGAAAATGGAGTTATATTAGCGTTCGTCTTAGCGACCTGGTTGCGTGACCGCAGAGCCGAAGGGACAACTGCTTTAGGCCGGTCGCTCACGGCATTTTTATGAGAAGTTTTTTGAGTATTAGCTCCGCTCTTGAAAGCCCTTAGTGGACATCCTTACCCAAGGAGACGGAAATCCGTGAGTTAGGGGATGTGTGACATTTTTACGGTCGACCTTTTCTAACCCTTCATTCCTTGTGAGAAGGCAGCATCGCTACAGATGCTGGTTGTCCGGGGGAAACAACTTACTGCTGTCACAGCCTTCTGCAGTCAGCAGTACGACTTCGCTCTCAGACCTTGAGTAACTGCTTTTAGTCGCACCTTTCTCCAAAGCTCGAATCTTACTTAGAAGTGGACGTCCATCGATATGTAATAAGTTTAAAAAAGGAAGTATGATTTGTAAAAACACTGATAACATCCTTATCGACGTTATGCGTTTTAGTAGTGACTAGACTTTAGTTTGGTTTGGGTGTCTGATCTAATGGTCGTAGGTTCGAACAAGCTCTACTGCAAGCGGGACCAAGCGTATATATGTGGACCGAAAAATATTTATTTTGGTTAGACAAACCTAATTTTTGAAGGTCAACCACTTGTTGGGGTTGATTACATAGCGCGTTACCTAGTAATTCATCTTGTTTATTTGGGAAGTGATGAGGACAGTTATATCGCAGATTCAGCACACAAAAATTTCGAATTCAAACGTGGGACATGTTTGTCTCGTTCAATCTGTATAATCTTTAATCTGCTTACATTGAAGTTGGGGTGTGTATTTTGTGTATCATTTGCATAAAATATACTTCATTAATTTAGAAAATTGGGTTTTGACACGTCATTTGTTGTTTATAGGTTTAGCTGGGATAATGAAATTGTGGATCATCCAGTTCTAGTTTGGGCGTCCATTGGACCACCCCTATGATGAGAAAGGCCAAATCTGGTGTTTGAGATTCTACTTTTGTTTGGTTGAACGTTTCTATTTTTGGCAGTGGTTTCGGAACCTGACACATTTGTTTAAGCTTATGTCACATATGATTCAAGCATTATAATTTTAAGTGTTTCGCAAAGCCCATAATTTAAGATTTCATGTTTGAGTATGTGCTTCAACTGAACTATTGAGAAATTTCAAGTCATAGAGCATAAGACCCATATCGAAATTCAGTGTATTGGTGATATGAAGTTTGAGGCGAATTAACGGTCTTCATTGATAAATTGGGTTGTCGGTTAGCAGGCAAGGCGTCAGTCGCACGATCGAGTCCCGTTGATTCATCAATAGGATTTATTGTACTTTCTAAACCGTTGTTATTGTCTATGATCTAACGTTTAGTGTCAAGCTTAGTATATTATTTTATTCTGTGGTTTTCTTTGCTAAGCATTTATTACAACCTCATCATGTAATATGTTTTCGTTTGTGATTTGAAATCTTATTGTTATAACTTGTAAATGTAGACTATTCAGAGTAGTTGGCAAGTACTCCTATTATGATATGTCCAATTCATTTTACTATATAATTTTTGCTGTTTTTGTCTTATTGAACTTATTAAAGAAACTAGATGATATGATATCATTAATAAGTTGCTTATGATTTTATAACCAATTTTTTTAAAAACTCTAATTAATCTTGATATTATGTTTGAACCAAATATTTATAAACTATCACAGTAGTTTTGTTTTATTTATTATTTACAATTTATTATTATTTTTTATTATTTAATGGTGTTGTAGTTTATCTACTGATTGAATGCAAAAATTATATTCATGTGTATTGTTTCTCTCTCTTTCCAGGTGCATTATGTCAATGATGCGGAAAGAGGTCATGTATGGGAACAAATTATGATTATGTTGCCTAAACATGTTTTGTTAGTTATGTTAAGTGCTACAGTTCCTAATAAACTTGATTTTGCTGATTGGTTAGGGCGTGTACGTGGAACTGAAGTTCATGTTGTTGCAACTAATAAACGTCCTGTTCCATTGGAACATTTTCTGTTTACTGGTATGGATGGTCAACGTAGTAAAGATCATCTTCATCTTATTGTAGATCAAGCTGGTCAATTCAATTTACCAGGTAAATCTATATTTTGAAGAATATATATATATATATATATATATATATATATATATATATATATGATGAATGGTTGTCGTCTTCGTGTTCATATTGATATTCAGAACGGTTTCATATTCAGGCGAAAAGTTACCTCTTTTTTTATTGCTTCTTAACAGTGTACATGTACAACCCTGACCATTAATTGAACGCAAGATCTACTTACATTTGTAATCAATTCATTAATTCGTGTGTTTCTTGTCGTTTACCAGTGTTTATTATTATTGGTATTGTTTAAGTTATTATCACTTTAAGTTGTCCCGACCGTAGCTGCTACCTTGACGTGGTGGTCGGGCTTGCCTATCGTGATGACCCAACCGAGTTACACTGGCTGGAACATATGTTCCTCAAGGTTGTACCATGCCAGACAGGTCGATTGAGAACGATGAGACTAAAAGCAGCTACCCAGGTCTGAGGGCGAAGTCGTACTGCTGACTGCAGAGGGGTGTGACAGCAGTAAGGTGTTTCCCTCGGACAACCAGCATCTGCAGCGATGCTGCCTTCTCACAAGGAAGGAAGGGTTAGAAAAGGTCGGCCCTAAAAATGTCACACATCCCCTAACTCACGGATTTCCGTCTCCTTGAGCTAGGGGGCCCACTAAGGGCCTTTAAGAACGGAGCTAATCCTCAAAAAACATTTTATAAAAAGGCCGTGCGTGACCGGCCTCAAGCAGTTGTCCCTTGGACTCTGCGGTCACGCACCAACACTAATCTATCTTCCTTTTCAGGTTCGTCAAGAAACAACCTTCCACGGTGTGGGCAGCCGGGAAGTGACAACCGCCCTCATACCCGCAACAGCATACGCGAGACCAAATGGTCAAAATCAAATCCTACCTACCTTCCCTAATACCTCCCTTATCTCCACAACTAACTCTTCTCACATTCATTTATTACAGTGCACAGCTAATGCAAACGATGCGAGTTTGCGAAACGTCGTTCCTGGTCTCCTTAAACCTCGCTCTAGACTACATGTTGGAGCATTTAATGTACGGACATTATGTTAAATAGGGCAACAGGCTTCCTTAGCTAGGACTTTAGAAACTCGTGCCATCGATTTATGCTACGTCTCGGAAACGCGCATACAGGATCCGAGTCACGTCATACACTTGGCCACACCATGTCAAAATAAAGAAGCAGCTCGATTTACCCTTCGTGTATCCGGTAGCCCTGATGCTGCTTCCAGGGGTCTTGCTGGCGTAGGCATAGCATTGAGTCGTAGGGCAGAACAATCTCTCCTTGACTGGATCCCAGTAGATAGTCGATTGTGCGCTGTCCGACTAAATGGGACAGTAAGGACTCGGAAAGATATTTTTTGAATAATATCTTCAAACCCTAGTCTTCTTTATTAACATTAATACCTCTACTATCTTTATCACTATGAGATTTGATTTGACATTTGCATCTCTGTGCTAATAATGTGGTATGGCAACATGAACTTATGTACATACGTACGAAGTTCTACGTTGCAACTGACTGACTGACTGACGGAAATATAGGGACAATCGCCGTTGCCTCTTCGTTATATCTGCCTATGCCCCCACTGAATGCAGTTCAGACGAGGTTAAGGATGAGTTTTACAGAAAGCTCTCGGACCTCCTCCAAAAAGCTAGGCGCTCTGATATAGTAATAATGGCTGGTGACTTTAATGCTCAAGTAGGTAGACTAAGTGAGCAGGAGAGACACCTAGGTGGATGTTATGGTGTCGCGGCTCAGAGAACAGACAATGGTGACCGTCTGTTGCAAGCATGCTCAGACAACCGCCTATTCTTAGCAAACACTAACTTTAGGCATAAGGAAAAGCATCTGTTGACCTGGCAACCTCCAAAGTCGTCTCAACGTTGGACTCAACTAGATCACATTGTCATCAGCCACCGATGGAGGGGTTCGATAGAGGACTATCGCCCGTTCTGTGGCACATGTTTAGATTCAGATCATGCTCTAGTGCAAGCGCATATCTACTTGAGGTTTACTGGACGTAGGAAAGACAACGTGAGGAAGCCTCTTAGGGTTTTACTTAATGATAATAAGGCGGAAAATATATTTCAGGATAAACTAGAAAGACAGTTAGGCGACCATTTAAGCGATTCCCATCCGGAAGCAGGATGGAATGATATCAAGAAGGCTGTGGAAACAGCAGTGATATCTGCTAGGAACGTTGACCATAAGGCTACAAAGAAGCCGTGGATCTCAGTAGCATCCACCGAACTGATGTATGCCTGAAAACTCATCCCACCTGCCTCTGAACATGATGAAGAACGAAGTCAACTTAGGCGCAGACTTATAAAAAGCCTACGTGACGATCGCGAACAGTGGTGGGTGGCGAAAGCAAAAGCGATGGAAAAGGCAAAGGCGATAGGCAACAGTAGACAACTTTTCCGACTTATCAAGGAAACTGGTATTAGGAATCCTAGTATAAGTGAGACTATCTCAGAAAATGACGGGACTATTATTTATTCTCAATCCAGTAGACTGGATCGATGGGCAGAACACTTTAGGGATCAGTTCAACTGGCCACGAACCACTCTTCGGTTACCCACGATCTCCAGTCATCCTGAATGGCAAATCGACGTAAGTCCCCCTAGTCTTAATGAAGTTGAAAAAGCGTTAGGAAATCTGAAGCGAGGACGAGCTGCAGGTCCTGATAGACTGACCCCTGAGATGTTTAAGGATGGTGGTCCAGTTTTAACGGTTAGACTGACCGAGATCCTAGGTAGAATCTGGGGACTGGACGTAATCCCATCCGACTGGTCTCAATCACTCATTGTCCCAATCTATAAGAAAGGACAGAAGTCTTCTTGTGACAATCACAGGGGAATAAGTCTAACTAATAGAGTATCTAAAATATTGGCCTCAGTAATACTTCGACGCTTAACGAAAGCTCGTGAAGAGCAGACTCGAGAAAACCAGTCTGGTTTTCGACCTGGACGTGGCTGTATAGACCACGTCTTCATACTACGACAGGTCCTGGAACACAGACACACATTTAGTCGTCCTACAATAGTTGTTTTCCTGGACCTTAAGGCGGCATTTGACTCTGTGGATCGTGAGGTTCTGTGGCAGTGTCTGTCGTTGAAATGTGTACCAAATGAGTACATTAACCTCATACAAGCTCTCTACTCGAACACCACTGGTCGAGTGAGAGCTTATGGCGAACTGTCACCGGATTTCTCTACTTCAAGTGGTGTCCGTCAGGGATGTCCACTTTCTCCATTTTTGTTTAATTTTATCATAGACATGCTCCTAGAAATAACCTTATCCTCTTCTGAATTTTCTGGAGTAGACCTTTTACCAGGTGGCTCGCTTATTGACTTAGAATATGCCGATGACATAGTCCTACTTGGTGAAGACGCTGACAAAATATAGAGTCTTCTGACTACAATAAGCAACAATGCAAGCATGTTGGGGATGCGGTTTTCCCCCTCGAAATGCAAAATGTTGCCTCAAGACTGGGTTGAATCGGCACCTGAACTAGTGATAGGGAGTGAAGTAGTCGAGCGTGTAGACCGCTTCACTTATCTGGGAAGTCTCATGAGTGCTGATGGCCTGGTGACTGACAAAATCTCAGCTCGGATACAGAAGGCTCGATTGGCTTTTGCCAACCTGCGTCACTTATGGCGTAGGTGAGATATCCGTTTGCTGACTAAAGGACGAGTGTACTGCGCAATGGTTCGCTCCGTCTTACTTTATGGCTGTGAAACATGGCCAGTGAGAGTAGAAGATACTCGTCGGTTACTGGTTTTCGATCATAGGTGTCTTCGAAGCATTGCTCGTATATCGTGGGACGGCCGAGTGAGCAACGCTGTTATTAGGAAACGAGTACTAGGTAAGGATGGCAGATCAATAGATGAAGTGGTGAAACTTCATCAGTTAAGGTGGTTGGGACACGTGTTGCGTATGCCTAACCACCGATTGCCTCGTCGAGCTTTGTTTTGTAGTGTAGGAATAGGTTGGAAGAAAGCTAGGGGCGGCCAGACCAAAAGATGGCATAAATCCATGAAGTCATTGACGAGTGGACTGAGCCATGTCGGTAATTGTCGACTACCTGGTTGGGGTCCGCGAGATGATAATAATCAATGGCTAGAGACCTTGAATGACATGGCTCAAAATCGTTCGCAATGGCGTCAGTGCATTTATTCTTTGTGTTCTCTCAAATCCTAATCTTCTGGATTCTTCAACACCTCTAGTTTTTACTTTCTAAACCTATCTCACTGAATCATACTTCTTGAGTAGTATCTTCTAATCCTAACCTCTCCGATTACCTCTTCTACTATTGGATTTGAATTGACGATTACTTCTCTGTGCTGATGTGGTATGGCGACATGAACTGATGTACTTACGTACGAAGTTCTACGTTGCAACTGACTGACTGACTGACTTTAAGTTGTATCCTAATATTGAAGGAACAATAACTCCTCTTATTTACACTCAGTAAGGCTCATATATCAGATTTTTAATCCTATCATAATAACTGTGTAAGATGACTACTATCTAATGAGCACTGTTTGATCACTACGATCACCTTTCATTGAAACTGTAAAACCTGTTGTGGAAAATATCATTTTTCTTCTATTCTCGGTACACTATTGAGTTTCAATTGATTTATCGTTGTGTTGTTCTTTTTCCAGTCTTTCCTATTTGCATTAGCTATGTAAGATTGTCAAAAACAAATTGTTTCTAAAAACCTTCAAAACAATTTAAAAACTGATTCAATATAAAATAACTGTCGAAATTTCATATTTTTTGTTTACTTACACCGTTACATAAATATAGGTTACAAACAGGCAAGTCGTATGCTTAGCGGTGAAAAAGATGTTGATAAAAAGAAACCGGCTGAGAATCCAGTAAATTCATCAAATACTAAAAACGTACCACGAAAGAATACTGGTGGTAAAGTGAATACTCCAGGTCATTTCCGTCCATTACCGCGTAAGTAGTGGAAAATTATTTTTTTTTTTTGAGTTATTACATTGACTTCATGTATTCCTGGATCAATTTGTAACACATATTTTATCAATACACCACATTACAGACATAAATTATGGATCGGACGAAAACACTTACAATTGGCAGAAACATTCCATAGATCATGTTGTACGCGTAAAAGTTAACCTCTTTAAATCTGATCGATTTCAGCTTTGTGAAGTATGGATCGCTGAACTATTCAAATCATAAGCGTATGGGTTTGTGTGTTTAGTTTCTTATTTTAGCCCAATATTCTTGTCTATAGAAATCAGTGTCTGAACCAACAATACGTCACGTAGTCTTATTAAAGAAATCGTGTTGCATTTCAGCAAATTAATAATGTATACTGCTTGTTCTCTGATAATAATTTTATCAAGCTAATCGTAACAATTACCTGATGACTTCATTCGTAAGCTGTATTTCAGTAGGTAATATTTTGTTGTCATTGTATGAATGGTCTTCGCTGTTATCGAACGGCATTTATCTTCTCTAGCAACTCGATTTTTCCAACAGAATTACGGACCCAGGATTGAATTAAGTAAAAATTTTCTGGAGACTAACTACTTATCAACGCTACATAGAGTTCAAGTGCTGACTGTTTTAATCTGAAGGAAATATGTTCATAACGAGTGTGCAGATCTCATAATGATGACACTAGAAATTACACGATTCTAGCCGGAAGTAGCTTACCTACTATATCATACTACGTTTAATTTCTGTGACAGAAGAAGACACTTATTACTCTCTCTCTCTCTCTCTCTCTCTCTCTCTATATATATATATATATATATATATATATATATATATATATATATATATATATAGTATCACTAGCTTCCACATAAATCGTGTATCAAAGCTCATTATATAAACCCTTTACTTCGCAAATGAGTTATATGGTTACTTATTCTGGTATGTTGATGTATATATTTGCTGATTATGTTTTAACTGCTTACTTCACTTTATTAGCGATTAACGGAATAAGTGTACATGATCATCGTACCAAGAATTTATGGCTTGGAGTAGTGCACCTTCTTCAGGAGCGTGATCTGATGCCAGCTATAGCATTTGCATTTTCTCGATCATCACTTGAAACTTTAGCTGGTCATTTGTCTTCAGTGGACTTGTTAAATTCAAGTGAGAAATTTGTAACTGTAATGTCAATTATGTTGTTGATGTTTCTTCTTCTACATTTATTAATATATCTGTTTAATCCACTTTATTAAGAAACATATAGTTGGTGATAGAACTGATCTTTGATTGCATCCACGTCTCGATCTGTTGGTTCTTAAGAAGCAACTACGAAAAGACATTTCCACGTTAGACTTTTCTCAGTTTGATGAATCTTCTAAATTAACAGCACATAAATACCCATCATCTGGAATCCAATCTACTAGTATTGGTTTCGCCTGGACACTAAGTGCTTACAATACAAAGTCCCTGATAAAGTTCACTTATTACAAACTTTTAGAAACAACAAACAGATAGTATTTGTTGTACGTTAATGAAATCTTGAATATAGGTCTCAGTTATACAGCATATATATTAGTATCAGGAACTTTCATAGATTTGAACAGACATACAAATATTTTGATCTGGACATTGAAGGAAGCATAATTAAATTGCGTACATAGTTTCAGCAAACCTAATAAATTTCATCTTCAATTATAGTTTACGTGACAGTGGACAAGTATCAGAAGGTATTGCCTCGTGTTGCTAGAGCATAGACAACGTAGTTCTGCATGTCTTTTGTTCCTCCGAAATCCTCTGGTCAATGAACATTACTGTTATTATTTTAAATTATAAACAACTAGTTTTTTTCCTTCTGAACATCGGCGCAAATTATAAATTAAGTTTACTCTTATGGTTTCTCTTAAATTCAAAAACAGGTGAAAAACAACAAGTTAAAAACTTTCTACATTGTTCTGTCACTAAACGACTAAAAAGATGTGATCGTCAACTTGCTTCAGTTCAGTTTATTAGTAAATTGGCTGTAAGAGGACTAGCTGTGCATCATGCTGGAATGCTGCCTATTTTGAAGGAGGTATGAGTTATGTTTTATAATTTATGAAATTTCCTAAAGGTTGTTTGTTAACCGATATTGTCTGTATATTAACTGGTTATGGTTGTAGGTCTACACGTTACCCTCCCTATATTGCAACAAATAAAGTGTATAACATTTGGCAGAACTCATATTTATTGACTATTTATTTGTTCACTACTAATATCAGATATTATATACATACCTCGGTTCTTGTGTGATTTATTCTAGTTGATATCACTTCATCTTAATTACAAGTGCCCATGTACTACTTAAAAGACTTCTAAGATAGGTGAAATGATCAAGACACTCTACTTTAATTCCTACAGTCAGTTTAGACGTATACTCAGATCACTTTTGAAGCAACACACATCCCAAACGCCTCTAGCTTTATCTCCCGAGCAATCAAAAGACTACATCTTGCTATCAAAAGAACTTTATCACTGTTAAGTTAATCGGTTGTATATAAGTTACAATGATCAGGATGTGAAAACTAAGTGATTGTCGCTAAAATCAATGTCACTAAGAATACGGAAAGCTCATAAAGTAATGTAACGAAAATGTGTTGAACTCTTACCCGACAGCCACATTTCTTCAATATTTGTTTCATTATGAGTTGTATTTGAAGACTGAACATCCCCAACTCCACTTGGGGTTTGCAGTTTGCCATAAGCGCTGACTTGACCAACAGCGTTCGATCGGAGAGCCTTCAAAATTTTCGGATGTATCTTTGGTACGCCATTCAATGAAAAATTTTGCCACCAAACCTATTTGTAGACAGAGTCAAATGATACTCATAGGTTAAGAAATACAAACCACTGTAGCTGATGCCGTGACGTGGAGTTCGAGCTTGCCTATCGTAATGACTCCATTGAACTTTAGTGGCTGGAACATACGACTCAACACTGTCCTATACTTTTTAATCTGAATTTACTCTTTCCTGTAGAATCGTTGTCGTATGCCTAACCGTTAATACATACAACGTGAATAATACAAAACACTAATCAGAATAATGTTAGCATCAGAAAGCGTGATCAGTTCTAGATCTTTCAGTCACTCAGTCAGTTGCAACGTAGAACTTCGTTTGTATGTACATTGGTTCAAGTTGTCATACCACATTAGCACAGAGACGCAATTGTCCATTCAAATCCCTTAGTAGTAGAGGTAGTAGAAGTATTAGCAGTAACTGAAAAGTTTATTGATCAACTATATCATTCGAGATGTATAACCCCCGAGGAATCAGATAAAAAAACGAAAGAGACCATGAATGACATGGCTCAAAACCGTTTGCAATGGCGCAGGTGCATTCATTCTTTGTATTCTCTCAAATCCTTACCTTCGGAGTTCCTCATGACCGTTCTAACTATCGATTACTATCATCTCGCGGGTCCCAACCAGTTAATCGACACCTACCAACATGACTCAATTCACTTGTCAATGACTTCATGGATTTGTGCCATGTTTTGGTTTGGCCACCCCTAGCTTTCTTCCAACCTGTCCCTAAACTACGAAACGTAGATCATCAAGGCAGTCGATGGTTATTCATTCGTAACACATGTCTCAACCACCTCAACTGATGAAGTTTCACTACTTCATCTATTGATCTGACATCCTTACCTAGTACCCGTTTCCTATCAACATCATTGATTACTCGGTGGTCGTAGGATTTCCGAGCAATGCTACGAATATCCTCTACTCTTACTGACCATGTTTCACAGCCATATAGTAGGACGGAGCGAACTGCTGTGCAATAGACTCGTTTGGTTAGCAGACGGATAGGTCACCTACGCGATAAGTAACTGAAGTTGTCAAAAGCCAGTGAAGCCTTATGTGTGTGCGCTGAGATTTCGTCAGACAGCAGGCTATCAGCACTGATGAGACCCCCAAGATAAGTGAATCGGTCAACAAGCGTGTCTCTTTGTAGAAGATCCTTACCTGAAAAGTCGGACGAGGGTAACTTTAACGCTAGAAGCATGTCTATTACATAGTGAAACACGAATGAATGGAGTGTACAGCCCTGACGGACATCACTTGAATTAACGAATTCCGATGACAGTTCGCCATAAGCTGTTACTCGACGAGAAGAGACCCTTTTTAGGTTTATGTACTTCTTTGGTACACCTTTTAGTGATCGACACTGCCACAGAACCTCACGATCGATAAAATCGAACGCCGCCTCAAAATCCAGGAATACAACTATTGTCGGACGCCTTAATGTGTTTCTGTGTTCTAAGATCTGTCGTAGTGTTAATATCTGGTTCATACAGCCGCGTACAGCCCTGAAACCAGTCTAGTTTTCTTTACGCTCTCTAGTTAGGCGTCGAAATTTCATCGAGGCTAACAATTCAGACACTATATTAGTTAAACTGCTCCCTCTGTGATTGTCCCCTTCTTTTAAATTGAGACAATCAATGATTGAGACTAGTCGGATGGGATTACCACCACTGCCCATATTCTCACTAAAAACTCAGTCAGTCTATCTGCTAAAACTGCACCACCATCTTAAAAATTCCCAGGGTAGGCCTATTAGGCACTACTGCACGCCCTTGATTTAGATTTACTATAGCTTGTTTAACTCCATAAATACTCTGAGGACTTATATCGATTTGCCGGTGGAGATCGTGGGCAACCGAAGTGTGGCTGAAGGACAGTTGAATTAGTCCCTGAAGTGTTCTTCCCATCGGTCGAGTCTCCTGGGTTAAGAGTGAATGACACAGCCATCATTTTTTGTGAGAGTTACTCTAACGGATGGATTTGTAATACCGGTTTACTTGATTAGGCGGAACCTTTGTTTACTGTTACTGATCATCATCACTGCCTTTTCCTCCCCTCTCGCTTTCGCTACCCACCACGTAGTGTAGAATTCTTATGAGCCTGTGCTTAAGCTGACTTCGCTCTTCGTCATGTTCACAACCAGATGGGATGAGCTTCCGATCGCCTCTCAGTTCGGTTGATGCTACTGAGATCCACCGCTTCTAGCTACCTCAGGGTGGGCATCACTTACATCGTTGCATAACAGTTTTTCCAGATGTTCCTGAAATATATTCTTTGCTTTGCTATCTATCATTAAGTAGAACCGTGAGAGGTTTCCTTGCATTGTCTTTCCTACGTCCAGTAAGACGCAGACTACTACGCGCTCGCACCAGAACATGATGTGAATGTCAAAAAGTGCTCGAGAATGAGCGGCAGTTTTCAGTGGAGCCTCTCCTCCGTTGGCCGGTAGCAATGTGGTCTAGTTTGGTCCATCGTTGAATTGGCTTTGGGGGGTCGCCGTGTTAAGAAGTATTTTTCCTATGCCTAAAACTAGTGTTTGCTAGAAATAGGTGGTTATCCCAAGGTACTCAAGCCAGTCTCCACAACATTTTGGTTTTATTTCAAGCAGACAGTTTATATACCAATCATACCAAAACCCATCACAATTATCCACGAGCAAATGGAAATCGGTTGTGGACATGAGAAACTGTGAACAATAAACAGGCAAAAGATTAGGAATAGTAAACCATATAAAATAAGTTAATCGGTCGATCAAGAGCACATGACACAGTGCGTAAATGTGTGCGATGATCTAGTCATTTAATTAATTATGCAGTCCTCTAAGTTATCATTCATCTAATCTTCCTGAAATAGCAATTATGTTGTGTATACCTCATATTTTTAACTATCATTGATAGTGTCTCCACTTCCACTTCTCTGGAATTTATCTTGATATTTTCACCTTGCCGTACTGATTCGGTTTGGATATATGAACAAATTCATATATATGCCAGGCTTCTATGTGGTTTATAATTGACTAACTGTTAATTTATGCAATTATTTTTCATTACTGTCTATCGATATAAGATGTTTTGTGCGCATTGTGTATTTTTATTCATACGAGCATGTTCTACTTTATTTTACACAAAACTAGACAGTGGAGATGTTATTTCGACGTGGCTTAATCAGAATACTATTTGCTACTGAAACATTTGCAATGGGCGTGAATATGCCGGCTCGTTGTGTCATCTTTACTACACTAGAGAAATTTGATGGTCAGAAACGTCGTCCTTTAAGTTCAAGTTAGTGTTTGTTTTATCTTAATTCATTTCAAAATTCTCAGCTTTTAATACTGACAGATGAAATCGTTTATTAGACAATTGTAAATGAATGACTTTGCGATTCAAATTCACTCAACTAGTTCTGCTGTTCGAGTGTCACGTTCGAATCTTATTCCACCTACTTTGATTTGAACAAGATAGTATAAAGAACCCTTACTCTCGTTACACATTGATTACCCATATTATTATTATTATTAAGTGAATGATATTTCGCTTTTTATTTTTTAACAAGATTACTGTGTTTTTACTGAGTCATACAATGTATACACTGGAAACAAAGGATTGATTTTTTTGCATGCATTTACCAGTTGATTAGTTGTACAGTCTAGAACTCTCTATGCAAACTTCAATTGGCTTAAGTTTTGAAGATAATTGATAGATATTTGTACATTTACTTGTGTTATCCTTGTCATAGAATGTCATCGTGAAGGTATTTATTTATTTGCAACTCCAAGCATACTTTGTTTTCTAATAAAAATTTGCCTGAACTATCATAATCCTTTACTTTTATCAATTATTAGTTTATATTTGAGCTAGTCGTGCCAACTTATTGCCAGATTGTTTATAAGACAGTGTTGTTTTGTAATCTAGAATTATGCATTGATTAATTGCTAGCGTTATAGTAGAATCTTATAAGCACTTCGTATTAAAGTATTATTTCTTATTACCCAATTTATGGGGAAAAATTTACTCCTAACTACTTATAAAATATTTTCAAGAATGAATAAATTTTGGTTAGCAAGGTAATCCATGATTCATGTTTTGTCTTTAAGGTGATGAAGTAAGCTATGTTGATGCATAAATTCTTAGCACAGACGGATCGAAAACTCAAATTCTATAAGTCAACAATGGGATCGAACAAAACCTTATGTAAACATCTTACTCGTTTAATAGGTTGGCAGTTATATGAACTAAGTATCTCAGCAGACAACCAGATTTTATTTAAAACAAATGGTATAAGGTTCATGTCCCAAAAAAATATATCATTATTGGAATGCAGATAATACATATACATCAGCACAGAGATATAATTGTCAATTCAAATCCAATAGTAGAAGAGGTAATACAGGTATTCGAAGTAATCGGAGAGGTTAGGATTAGAAGATATTATTCACAAAGTATGATTCAGTGAGAAAAGTTGAGAAAGTCAAAACTAGAGGGATTGAACAATCCAGAAGATTAGGATTTTAGAAAACAAAGAATAAATGCACTGGCGCCATTGCAAACGGTTTTGAGCCATGTCATTCAGGGTCTCTAACCATCGATTATTATCATCTCACGGACCCCAACCAGGTGGTGGACAACTACCGACATGGCTCAGTCCACCTGTCATTGACTTCATGGATTTCTGTCATGTTTTGGTCTGGCCGCCCCTAACTATTTCTGAATTGCAATCGTTATTTATCATTTTAATTTCTCTATTAATTTACTTAACACATGTAGGTGAGTATACACAAATGGCTGGACGTGCAGGTCGTCGTGGTTTAGATGCTTCCGGTTCTGTAATTATTCTACTTGGTGGAATCGGCAAATCACTTACACCTGGTAGTTTTGGTCTACCATCTGAGCATACATTAAATGATATTATTCTTGGCAGACAAACTCAATTAGTGTCGAAATTTAAAATCACTTACTCTATGATATTACATTTACATCGAACGAATTGGTTAACTCCACAGGTATTTCATGTATTTCATGTTTACATTTTATATGTCCTTCTGTGTATGAGATTCATATTCAATGGACTGTTTCCCTACTACAAAATTGATAATGAGATATTGATTCTTATCACTGTACGTGTTTGCAATAATTGTTATTATTATTATTATTATTTTCCTTCAAATATACGTGCATAAACAAAGGACGTTATGCGACGAAGCTTTATGGAGGCAGCCAATCTTAGACGTGAACTCGAGCGTAGACAATGGTTATCAGCTTTAAACAAAAAACTAGATGAAACAACTACTCTTATACCACCGGCTGGATTATCATCAAATGTATCATCTCATCAACTTGTTCGTGGTTCAACTAGTAAAGTTGCAATATCTATGAATAGCAGTTCTCGCTTATCTGTACCGATTGGTGAACCTATTTTACAAGTGAAATGCCCTTTTGGTCAAATAAGTTGTTGTGATTCAATGACCACTTATTATCAGGTTAGTTTGTTGTATAAATATATTCTTTATTATCAAATAGACTTCCAGATTACATAAGAAGGTCAATAACAATATTTTTCTTTACGAGGCTCAGTACGTTTTTCTTTTGTGTATCTATTTTTCCGTGGAATAAGTAAATCCTGAAATAGCTCAACAGATTTCATGTTTCATATCTTGCAAGATCAAATGTATATCATTCCTTTCTGATAAAATACACATTATTTATCGTTTCGTACATATCAACGGCTTTAGTAATTAAGTTATTATGAATCACTTTTTTTACAAACTCTTAAGTTACAGGACTGAAACTCGTCATTCTATTGGTTGACTAAATTAACTAGGTCACAGTAAATCGGTAGTGTTAACAAGGAGCATCACAAAAGGTGTACAATCGTTTTCTTTTGAATACATAAGTATAGTGTAGTTTATATTTCCTGACAGATGTCGCAAAATTTCGAAAAACTGGTATTAATTCATAAGTGATCTGATATTTTTTAATTTGGTAACTAAACCGTTTCACATATAGTGCGATTATTTACTAACGTACGTTAGAATTATGTTCATCGAGGTATTGTTTAGAAAGGGCCGTTATCTGTCTTTTGGTTCTGATATACTCGTCGATTAATATGCTTGAATACTATTACGAGTTCACCTTATTCGGTAAACGGGACGAAGGCAATAACTCAGTGACACGATAGACTATTCTGATCCGTTGTCTCCGGCCCGACTGACTGCATCAAGAGGTCTTGATAAGACATAGAATGTGTATTCTACAAGCACCCAGATAATACGAGGTTGACGAGCACACAAATCGAGCTTATTTATACATGATAAAAACGCCCTTGGAAAAGCCACAAAATAGCGTACTAAAATAATCCACCAACCAATGACAGTCAAGGATTTTTCGACTGGGAAATGTAAGCTCAAGGTTAACTAGGCGACGTATGCGCAAAAACATACACAAATCCAAAATTAGGATCCTTTCCAAGTGAGTTTTCGGGATCTAACGTCCCCGACAGTTTCCCGGTTCATACATATACGTTTTCTAGAATATTGGGTTTTGTTGACAGTGAGCAGTTGTGGTTAGAATACGCTTGATCATAAACTCTGGTTTAGTAACATATCGATCTTAGGCCATAGCTTTTTCAATGTTCCATAAAAGTGTATTATCTAACATTTTTCCATTCATCTAATGAGCCAGTACTGGATATTGAAACGTGATTTTCTCTGAAGATTTTATTTTTGCCATGTAACGCTGTCTTTTTGTCTTCTGCAAACACGCTACTGTAACGAATCACAGGTTATCGGATGAAAAAAGAAATCAAAATGGAATGTTAAAGATTAAAATGAAAATCCCCAATAAAAATTACATCTGTAATCCTCACTCATTCACCAAAAGAACAGCACGATGCTAGGTACCGCACATATATTGATCATTGAATGAATGCGCTACAAATTTTTGGAAAATTATTGTATATCAGTTTTTAAATAAATTCAAGTTGAATATTTTTTTTATTTCAATACATAATCAGTAGCAGTTTATTGAATACTAATTAGTTTTTTTATGAGCTAACAAACACATTGGTGGTAGTGCATAAACTTTATATCTATTGATTGTAATTCGTATGATTTCTTTAAAGCTTATGCTGGTATTCGTTTATTTCTTGTTCAAGCTCTCGAATTATAACTACTGGATTTGTAAATTGGAGTTTTACAGGGTGTCTATTTCCATTTTTGCACCGTTTGATACATTATTCATTAGCTATCACATTCTGATAGTGGGTTGTAGTATCATTAGTAAACTTTTAAATTGTTTTCACAATACATAATTAAGAGATTTATTCACCTTTTTAAATGTATTCATTTTACTTCGATTAGTTCAAAAAGAAATAAACTGTATTTTTTTCAATCGATTGATCACTAAATAGTACTAAGTTTTATCTCGTAAGCAGAAATAACTGAAATAAGAGGAATTGCCAATCATACACAATCACCTATTATATTAACTAGTTAAAACATGAGCAATAATCATTTTCTGTGTATTTTGGGTTTTCTTCTCTGCCTAATGTGTACAGGTTGTTCTTTGTTAAAAATTTGCAATTACGGAATTCGAATTTGTTGGTACTGTTCTACTTTTGTTGTTGTTGTTATTATTACTGCGTGGTAAATGTATTCACACTATATGAAAGAATCAATTTGCTATTGTCTATGCTTTACTGGTTTACGGTTTATATTTCCAAAGTTTATATTATTATTATATTTATTCATCTAAGGGATTTTCTTGTTTTAATGTACCGAATTATTGACACATTGCAAGTTTATTTTGTTTCATGTACTGTGCGTGTGTGTATATATATATATTTACTTGTACACTATTACTACTCTTTCCTTCTTTGTATGTTTGATGTGTTGTAAACAGTAAATTACACATTTTATGTTTCATAATTGTCTTTGAAATAAGGTGATGGTCTTAAACACTGAAAATCTTCTCTCGTTATAACTTTATTTCTTCGGTTATTATTTTATATCGCTGAGATTATGCAGGCACATAAGTTATCATCAACTTGCACGCTTCAACTTGTGTTAAGCATATTCAATGTTTTCTTTTTGTAAAGATTTCAATGTACTGCGAACTTCTTGAAGGAAATGGAAGTCTGACTGATTAGTTTATCTTTGACTATGATGATTGTTTCCATCAAGAAGCATTGAATCATTGAGACTGATGAAATTTTCGAGAATATAATTTCACATTTATTGTGTCTCTATATTTATTTATGTGAAAATATTTGTTATTTTTTCTCTCAGATTTTCAAATATTTACAAAGTCTTCTCTTCATCTGCCTGATTTCTTTGTTTGTTTTTTTTTTAAAACAAATTAGGCGTGTTGCAATTATCAAAAGCTTACAGCAACTATTGTCCGTTTACTGGCTGAAGAAAATATATCTGATCTACAACGTGTATTCTGTCCAGGTCGTATAGTATTTGTTCATCTACCACAAACTGATCATTCATTATACAGTAAAGTACCTGTGAAACAACCCGATTGGTTAGTACCAGGTGTTTTGGTAAATCTGAGTAAGAAAAAATTCATGAATGAAAGTGAAATACAGGTGGGTTCTAGCTATTTATTTTGGATTATCTATAGAAGGACAAAGTGAACTTTCCTAGTTTTTTCAGTCAGTCACACACAGTATTGAACCTGGTTGGTTCAAGTTTCTTAATCTCATCGACACAGAGACATGAAATTAATTAGGTTAAATCCTAGAGTTATAGGATTAGTAACAATTTTAATGTTCGTATAAAAGACTAGGCATTGAAAATGAAATCCTGGTTAGTGAGTTAAAAAAATATAATCTTAGGATCTTCAATAAGACAAAAAATTTAATGCGTCTGTTCGATTGTGAATGATTTTCAACCTTGTCACTCTAAGTCTCTAATCATTGGTCACAATAATCACATGAACCTCAACCAGTTAGTCCTCACTATTTACATGGCTCAGTCCAGTAGTCAATGTCTTCATCAATTGGTGAAAAGTCTGAACTATAACACTCCTAATTTTTTTTCCAACCTGCTACAACACCAGCCATCATCGTACGTTTAGGTAGTCGCTGTATGGGCACATGTAATTCATGTTCTAGGTGTCTCAGTCGACAATGGTTTGCAACCTCGTTAATCGATCTACTTTCTTTATATAACCTCAAAATCAATAACCCTATGGTCCCAAAAGTTACTAGCAATGATTGGAAGTCATCTAGCATCGATTACTAGTAACTTTGGCATATTTCAACTTGATCCCTGCAAATGATCTATCTCCATTCGTATAGTCTCGAACTTGTACATGAACGACAGTACGCCGTATGATCTTTACGGCAATTGCATACTATTAAAACTTTTCTTCAATCAATCGTATTTGAGCATACGAACTTATAGACTTCCAGTCGTTAATGAATCACTGTATCTACAATTGTAGGATTATATTTCTGATTAATCGCTCCACCTACGTTATTTCAAGTAACCACTACGTATTACTAGTTCTCAATCAGTATCACAATCTCTACATAGTTGGTTATTTGTATCAATACTTATTGGATGATCAGTTTCAAAACATTACAAATCGATTCTTCCTGACCTTCATCCATATTTTTTTTATGTATGAATCATATAAAGCTTTTGATTTTTACTCATATACGCTCGATGATTGTATTTCCAAAAACACACTACTCAATAAACCAGACGATTATCGATTTTAAAACTCACCTTGATATTGTTTGTTTCTGTGTTGTTTCCAAAATCCGATGATGATACAGGTATTTTGTTAATGCGAATCAAATATTTCCTTTTCTTTCATTGTAATTATTCCGTATTACTTTACTTTGCTACTGCAAAACTCTATAAGTGTACTTGTTCTTGCTTTTGCTGAAACTGATAGTTTTAATTTTTGTAAACAGAGAATCCTTATCCAACTTTATTGATCTATGAGTTTTGTAGGATTATTCCTACATTTCATGCTTTCATCGATTGCATATCCTAACCGTATAACCTATTGTCTAATTCATTGTGGAATCAAGCTTCAAGCTCGGTAGGCTAATAAATTTGGATACACCATAATAAGAAGAGGAAATTTGCCATTCTTTACTGTATTTCATATATATATTGTCTTGACTTGACCTACGCCTGTTACCCCGAATGGTGCATAGTCTGCTGACCAGTATTCTCGAACCTAATGCATCCTGGGCTTCCCCTTCCACTTCTGTCCAATTTTCGTTCATTCTTCTCATGTCTGCTTCCATTACTCGACGTAACGTGTTCCTTGTCCTTCCCCTTTTCCTTTGACCTTGAGGATTCCAAGTGAGGGCTTGTCTTGTGACGCAGTTGGATGCTTTCCGCAATGTGTGTCCTATCCACTCCCAGCGCTTCTTCCTGATTTCCTCGTCCACTGGTATCTGGTTTGTTGTTTCTGATGACGTCTGGCCGACGGGTCAGAAGTGTTTCACGTAGACAACTGTTAATAAATACTTGTATCTTCTGGATGATGTCTTTCGTATTTTTCCAAGTTTCCGTCCCATATGGTAGAACTGTCTTGACATTTGTATCGAAAATTCTGATTTTGATGTTTGTTGTCAGTTCTTTTGAGTCCCAGATGTTGTTTAATTAGAGAAATGCAGTCCTTGTTTCACATCTGCATCAGTTGCTTGTTGCTTGACTGTGATGCTGCCCGGATATGTAAAGGCTTTAACATCCTCCAAGGTATCTGCATCAAGAGTGATTTGGTTGGTATATGTTGTGTTGCATCGGAGAATTTCGCTTTTTCCTTTGTGTGTGTTGAGACATGCTGCTACACTTGTTGTCTTCTCTTGCATGGGTGATAGAAGAGTCAGATTGTCGAGCTGCATCCTGGTTGAACGCTGTGTACCGTGTTTCCCTCCAAATGTTGACGTCTTCATAATTCGTATAACAACACGAACTTATGTGCGCACGTAGTTAGTTCTACGTTATAACTGACTGACGTCTTCATAATCCAGTCGAACACCAGGAGAAAGAGAAAGAGTTGGAGTAAGCAACCCAGCCTGACGCCGGTCATCACCTTGAACGAGTCTGTTGCTGATGAGAATATTGAGTATCTTTGCAGTTGCTGCCACGTCTACTTTCGTTGCCCCTGATGGAGTGTTATTTATTCCCGTTGCTTTGATGCTCTTGACTAGTAGCTGATTTGTCTGATGGCCGTACTGATTTCTTCAATTGTTGGTTGGTCAACACCGATTGGTCTGTCCGTGGATGCTGCCTCGATGTTGGGTGGGTTCAGTGGGGTTAGTCGATTCAAGAGTTCCTTAACATATTCTACCCACCTGTTTCCTCGTCCTTCAATGCCGGTGATTACGTTTCCTTCGTTGCTTTCAACTGGTCGTCCTGGTTTACGATATTTCCCAGCGGGCTTCTTTGTTGTATCATACAAGTGTCTCATATTCCCTTCTATTGCAGCTTTTTCCGTTATCATTATTGGGTTTCGATATATTTACGTTTGTCGGCTGTGATGTGCTCCTCTTGACTTGCTTGTTTGCTTCTCTGTATTCATCTTGTGCCTCGGGTTTCTCCGCTCTTGTTCGGCATATATTGATTACTGGCTTCGTGTTCCTCCTTTCTTGAATCTTATTTAGTGTGAAAACAGTGATCCATTCCCTGTGATAGTGCTTGTTTTGTCCCAGAACCCCATGACATGTTGAAGTGACTGCCCTCTTGATGCCTTTTGAGTTGTTCTTTATGGTAGTTTCCTCTCCATTGAGTAGATTGTGACAAGCATGGGACCTATTGCTGATGGCTTTCTTGAATTCGTTGAGTTTGTCGGTATCCCGAAAAAAGGCGTATTGAAATTTTGCTGTGTTTTCCGTTGCTTCTTTTGTTTCCGTTTCGTTTTGACGAACATTCAGTGATGATCCGAGGTTGTATCAGCTCCTTTCTTGGTTCTCATGTCCTGTTTGGAAAGCGTCATAGCAACTCTGTGTATGTGTAACATTTCCTTCTTCATGACCGGAGTACAACAGCAGCTCTCCTGAAGCTAGTCTCAGTTGTCAAACCTGTGTCCGATGTTTTCCACTGATTCCAAGTAACTCCAGGTTGTATCTTTTAATCTGTGTAGCAAGTTGGATGACTCTTCTGGTCTCATACCTTGTACAAACATTCCATGTACCTAAGTCAATGCTTGTTCTGGTTTCAGGAAGGGGTGTTGGCCTCGTGACTTCCGAAGGAATTCGGTTTTTATCACGGGATGTAATTACTCTTTGAATCGAAGACCTTCTAACTCCCAGGGCAGAGGTAAAATGGTTTTAAATATTTTTTCTGGTTAGAGTTTTTTTAGCGACTTGGTTCTCTGCGGGATGGGGTTGCCAAGCTTATTCCTGACCCCCCCACCTAATCATTGCCTGGGACCATCAGTTGCCACAGAAGGGCTCCAGGTGGAGTTTCCATATATATCAACAATTATGTATGCCATTATACTTTCTCAATCTATTTTTATGTTATATTGCGTGAATAATCGCAGTTAAGTGAAAGACCTGAGTCTAGTTTTCGTTTCTAGAGTTGTTGGTACCCATCACTAAAACTTATCTACAGTTGTGAGAGGACTTATATGCTTCTCATAGGATTTATCTCTTTTCGTCAATTTTCTCTATTCTATGTTGTATTTCATTAAAATCACGAGCATACCTAGGTTAGACGACCATTATCAACCCTAAATCACCAGATAAACGTTTCTTCCAAGCGACCTCACACAAAGATGAAGATCCTGGGTTTGATTCCCTGCTGTGAAATCGTAAATGTATACTTCTGAGTTCTATACTCAAACCAAAATCTGCATCTAGTGCTTCCAAGGTTTTAATGGTTTTCTAACTAAGATCGGTTCATGATCTCAACAAAATTTTACAATTTCCACAATCTCATACTAATAATGCCATAAATTTCTTCTGCGATTTTTTATTATCCGTTGGTCTCTGTATTCCACTCAATACCTCTTAAATTTTATTAAAAATCAAAACAGGGACACTGTATATATTCCAACCTTGGTACTGATACCTACAAACTCATTAATAATTGAATTAATCCGATCGATTTAGACCGGCTAATCAGAGTATGCCATGCTCAGGACTTTATTCTTTTGACAATATTGATTTTATTTAATCATATTAAAGACTTAATTTTTATTTCCCCGCGTTAATTAATCATTATTTAATTTGCTATACATACCTGATTATAATTTCCATTACCTTTTTTCTCACAGTGGGATATTATCACTTGGCAATTGCCTAATTTATCAAATCATTCTAAATCATTCAAAATTTCTAATCATCAATCACCAATTCAAATTAATTCAGGGAATAATGCGAATGATGGAAAAGTAGAAAGCAATACCAATAATCAATTCAATGAATTGGATGAAGAGGATATTTTGAAAGAAGGTGAAGATTCTCAATTGTCCAATACACCATACCCTCCACAATTAATGCCAGTTTATATACCTGAAGTAAGTATATATATAT